GGGGGGGCTCACAAGAGAAGAATCTGACAAGTTGTTTAATGACAAAATATACTTTGTTAGCAAAGAATAGAGTCCTAACATTTGTTAAACATCTGTTTTTACACCAATTTAAAAAAAACATCAAACTTGTGCTTTGACAATCGATAAAACTAAAAAAATGCTGTCAATGCAAAAGAAGAAAGAGGGGGCAGGTGTCGCTCTCGCTTTGACTTTATTTTCTGTCACATGCGTGCTGTGGGTGACAAGCGTCCAGAGCGTCACCAGCTGAGGAGGTGTCACTGCGACACGGTTCAATCGTGGCTCCCCAAGCAACAAGACAGACATATTTGTTCATAACTTTATTAGTAGTAAAAATGAGAGTTGCCGAATTTTAGCAAACAGTTGCCGAACGCACCCTGACACAATGAGAATTGTGCAAAAAAAAATATATATATATATACTAATCTCTGCTGCAAAATGTTCCCCGGGGTCACATGCACTCCCCGCCAGCATTGCTCCCACTATTTGAGAAGGATTGCTTTAGTTTCACTGATTGTTGCATCACAGCAGTGTCCGGATCAATGTGTGGATTCAGAGAGATTCCTGGAGTGTTTCTGCATGCAGTAAGAGGTCTAAATTAACCCCATCTTTTAATGTGTCAGTGTGATGACACACATCCATCCATCCATTATCTTTACCCGCTTCTTCCATTTTGAGTCACGGGGGTCACCGGTGCCCATGTCCAGCAGTCACTGTGCGAGAGGTGGGGGACACCCTGGACAGGTCTCCAGTCCATCACAGGGACACATAGAGACAAACGAGACAAACAACCATTCACTCTCTCACTCACACCTAGGGACAATTTAGAGTTACCAATCAGCCTAACATGCATGTTTTTGGTCTGTGGGAGGAAACGGGAGTACCCAGAGAAAACCCATGCACAGAGAGAACATGCCAACTATAAACTAATTATAATAAGTTATAATTTATATAATAATTACAAGTAGTTTTAATGGTTAGAAAAACTTTTTCTAAAATGACATTCTGATGTAATATAACATAAAGTGTAGCAGTTTTCTCGACCGAGCAATGTTATTACTGTACAAATGTATATACCCTGAGCAGAGATAGATTGGGGTTATGACTATGGTGCTGAAGCTACAAACGTATTGGAACTCTGGGAGTTCATTAAACTTCAGTTAAAGTTCGGGTTTGGATGTATTTTTCATGCAGGTCAACACAAGGTCAGCGATGCAATGAAATGCTCAGGACGAGAAGAACCATCTCGACTCGCAAAAAAACCAACAAGAACAAATACCAAAGCATGCAACAAAAATACAAAAACAAGGCACAAAAAGTGAAAAAGAAATACACAGCAGCAGGGTCCTATTAGAAGAGTGGCTCTGTGAGGTTCTCTTAGCAACATAGTCCAGTTAGCAACGTGGTCTTGTTAGCGCGCGGTCCCATTAGCAGCATGATGATAATATCATAATATTAATAGTAATAACATAAAATTGATAATAAAAATAACGACCATGGCAACGGATGATGACTCCAGAACTGGGTCCGGCAAACACAGAACATCCAATCCTTCCCTGCAGAACCAAATTTTTCCGTAGAGTTTGGCCCGTGCAGGCAGATGGAGGATCATGGAGACGGCCGCCATGACAGGCCGGTGCCTGAGCCCGAGGGTGGAAGAGGGCCGGGAACTGAACCACGATGGCAAGGCAGCGACACACAAAACTCTAAAAGTCTGTTGTGGTCATACGTGCAGCGTGGGTGTAAAGTGTAGGCGCAAAAAAATGTCAAAACAAAAAAAGAACGAGTCGAAGCGGAACTCCCGTCATTGCTGCCATACTGCATACATGTACATGTACTGTGTACTGTGTATTACTACATACAAACTAATGACTACCTGAGAACACTCTACTGGTTTGTATCCTTACCAGTAAATGTGGAATTTAGTAATAAAGATAAAAATCAGGTTCTTTTGCATCAGACTTTGATGAAGGTGATTTCTGTGCTGAGGTTTGATGTTTTAACATTAGGAGTCTTTAGAGGCAGCCTCAGGAAGTCATCTCAGAAGCTGATAACTTGTTTTTCTCAGCCCTGGGGTTTTCTGTTTGATTGGTAATAACACAGGTGCCAGGAAGCATTCCAGTACAATGTTAGTGTGTTTCCAGAGATGTTTTCCCCAAACCGAGGTCTTATCTGCCATAAGCACTGTTTAAAGAGAGTCTAGCTGCTTATTCTTCCTGTAAATCCCTGTTTTGTGAACTGTAAGGGACCAGAAACCCCTCTCTCGATAAATAACTGCAAATATCTGCTCAATCAGCCAGTACAATGATCCCCCAAAGCTTTTGTTATATTTGTGCCTGACAAAATGAAAATGTTGGACAAATGTGCTGATTGCAAGAACAATGGAAGCTGCTAGTTGGTTGCTATATTTGACTAGTACTTTCTTTTGTTCAGAGCAGACAGGTGCTGGTGGCCTGTGATTCAGGCTTTCAGCTCTGAGAGGGTCCTCAGCACACGGACCCTTTGGGTTGACAGGCTCTTTACGCTGGCTGGTTGAATATCAGCCTGCTAATGACATCTGCAAAAGCAGGATCCATTTCCTGCCCTGGAGGACTCCAGACATGTGCTCACCTCCGCAAACTCACAACACGAGAACAAACTCAAAGCACGATGAGCACAAAGGTCTGACAGCTGGGATTACCTGAGCCAAGCTTTGTGTTGACTGATGCATGAGGAGACACTCATGCACAATTCATGCAGGAAACACAATCTCAACTCACAGCATCCGCCTTATTTAGCCTCGCTGCTTCTATTTTGAGGTTTAGGATTTTGAACTGTGCACTGAAAACGGCCTGGATGGTCGTTCTCCTCTTTAGGGCGGGGGTTGAGTCATTTGTGTTCCCAAAAAGAATTTAAATTTTTCATTTTTCAACTACAGAACAGTTTTCCTCTTTGCCTCAATCCATTTTAAATGAGCTTAAGTCCAGAGAAGACAGTGGCATTTCATTTCTGCATGCTGTTCTTACATGACTTTTTTTTTTTGCATGATAGAGCTTTAACCAGCATGTAGATGTCATGGTGGACTGTGTTTATTGCTTTCCCAATAAAATGTTCATGCTTATCAAACAGATGGTTTTGCATGTCACTAATCCAAACTCACTTGTCTATCAAGTGGAGTGACCACCAGTGTTGAAAATATATCAGCTCAAGATTTTCTGATCTTTTTATTTTATTACCCAGCGATGTTTACTTTTGAAGCTGATTTTTCATGAGAAAGACAACCAAGGGTTCAAAACAAGCCTTCAGTGGGTTGTAGAGTCATCTGAATTATTACTGTGATGAACATCTCAATTATAATGTCACAAGTTAATGCATAATAATGATCCCTTTGTTAGATTTTTATTGTTCCAAGTACAGTAGTCCCTCACTACTTTGCGGTTGGACTTTTGCAGACTCGCTCTTTCACGGTTTTTCAAAGTAAGACTGTAAACGACACACGACTGTCAACTTTAATATTACTCACGTGATTAGGACAGTACGAGATAAAAAGTTAACAAAAAATATGTATACTTCTGACAGGTGCTGCCATTTTGTAGTTATCTCTCAATAAGCCTATACTGTATCACCACTCAAAAGGACTACATTTCCCAGAAGCCAACACTGCTTCCAGCTGTTGCTTTCTGCTGAAATGAAGGGAAAAGTTTTGATCCAATCCGCAAAAGTTTGTTCCTTAGTCATAGTGATTTGGTGCTCAGTGGATGCAGAGAGCCGTACGGAACCGAACTGGAATTGGACCAGAACCGGACTTCCAGCCTCATCAGTCACTCTGAGAGCTGCTTGCTGGCCCAGGGAGCCTTTCGAGTGGGGAGGTGTTGCTTGGAGGGTCCGGTGTTTTCTCTGGAGCTCACTGGGACTTTTTTTCATTAGGATTTGGACTCGATCAGGACCATTGTGTGGTTCTGTTTTCTGTATGTAGCTACTGTGCAGTACATCTACCTATGTTTTTAAAATGATGCAGGTTTAAGAGTTCAGAACATTGCAAGAGTGTGGGAGGAGTTTATAAAGCCTTAAAATATAGATAAATAAAATTAATATAGTGTTCCTACTTTGCAGTTTTTCACTTATTGCAGGGGTCCAGAACGTAACCCCCGTGATAACCGAGGGACTACTGTACTTTAGTGTTAGCCTTCATTCATTTTGTTCTCAGAGCTCTTGTTCTTTGCACCTCCCAGGTTTTGTCTCCATTGTCAGACTCCATCCTGGCAGAGAAGACCATCACAGTGGTGGATGACAAGGTGACCATCACAGAACTGGGGGTCCAGCTGGTGACGGGTCTCTCCATGAGCCTGCAGTTAAGTCAAGGAAGCAACCGGGCCATCTTAGCCACCACCACCACACAGGAAGTTCTGCAGAACCCCAAACAGGTCAGGACTCTGTGCTGCACAGTGGATTTTTTAATTTTTTTTTATTATATATAATTTTCTGTTTTGCTGCATGGAGTCATCCTAGATTATTTTTAAATGTTGCTTTGATGAAATATTGTGACTCATTATATTCATAATTCCTGAAGCAGCAGGAAATTAAAGTCAGCATTTTATCTGATTTCACATCATCTTCAGACAAGACAATTTTCTGATAATCAGCAGGTTAATTCATGGTGAAAACAATTTTCACATTCTATAAAACAAATGTGAACTGAGCTGTACTCTTTTAGTCTCTTAGCCACTGCAATGCAAGTCTCCTTTACAAAAACTTGCGCTGACTCCTGTGTAATTAATTAAAAACAATTACCAGTAATTATTTGCTCACAATTTAGTCACGTCTGATTAGCACAGAGAAGGATGTTCATTTCACACAGTAGTGATTATCCCCAAGCGGATATAATTGTCCGTTTGATCAAAATAAAATGAATTTCACACTCATGGTCCGTCCACTCGTGCCAAAAATGTCGTTTCCAAACCAAAATCATTCCTTCTGACTGCACGAGGGTGAGCAACTTTACAAGCAAAAGCTATGCACCAAACACACACACGTCTGTTTGTTCGATCATTATCCCAAGCAGTCGTGACCCCAAGGCTTCAGAGCCCGAGTGTGATGAAGTATTTCTTGGGTTACAACTATGGAAGCTTAATACTTGAGAGAATAAAAATCACAGCTACTATAAAAATATATATTCAGAATGTGTCTGTTCCATTGCACTTGCTTCCCTTTCTAATTTTCAAAGGCAACTCAAATTGTGGCCTCTTTGATCCACTCATCATGTCCCCTCTCGAGTTCCCTGAGCCGCTCCTCACTGCTCCTCTTCATCTTCTTCCTCGGGCAATGGGAGGAGGCAACGGACATTTATCTGCACCATCTCTTTCCGCGCAGTGTGAAGATAAGCAGGCAGCACTGCACCGCTAGGCCTCTGGTGGCAGTAATTAGGGAACATTTGCAGACCACAGTGGGGAGCTACTTGTTCTTCTTAGGGGATTTGTCCTTTGGCAACATTAAAAGGCGAATTGTGGGACTTCAGCAGAAAGCGGCTTGAAAAGCAAATATACGGCAAATCCTTATTGGCGTGAACAATGTTTGATGTCACCGTTTGATCTCTTCTCATTTTCTTAATCTGTATCCTTTTTTAACTTGGAGAGAACAGCTACAGAGTCAACAAAATCATAAATTTGCAAGTATTTTTATTCTAGTTGCAATGTTTTTCAAGTTGGAACCTCATAATAGGCTTCATGTCCTCCCTGTGCTGCAGTAGAAATTTATACTTATTTTTGGTTTATTACACTCTTAATTAATTACTAAGAATTAAAGGCCTTGCATCCCTTGAAGTAATGTATATATTAAATTAATATTTGAGGATATAAGTATATTTTAACATCTAATGCTTAGAAGAGACGGGGTTATAATCATTTAAGTTAAACCTTGAAGATGACAAATGACATGATAAGTAGAGCTCAGAGAATATGTTGCAGATGACTCTCTGTTACCATCACACCACATTTAGCAGAGTTTGTAAAAACGACTGAGTTATAATTATGTTTGTACAGTCTAAGGTTGTTTAGTTGTGGCAGCCATCTTGAATGGGATGGACTCCAAAGGGTTAATCATGTATTTTGTATTTTCAAACATTCAAACCCCATGAAATGTTATTTCTGTTATTCCTGATAACAGAAATAAATCGCGATATACGATATATATCTCGATAATTTTTTCTTTCCATAAAGTAATAACAAAAATATATTCCCGAGTCAAAGCTTGTCCCAGTTGTCACACAGGTACATATAGTAAACAGCTGTAACTGTAAAAATTAAATGTCTAGGAAAAAAAACTACTGTATTTACATATATTAAAGTTTTTTTTTTAGACGTTTATTTACATATATAAGTACAAGTACATTGTTGTCATTGTTTATTGTTATTGTTGTCTGTACTTTATATGTTCTGTCTGGAAGGAACAGGTTCCTCTTGTAAATGAGTCCTTGTGGCTCAATGAGGCTAACCTGTATAAATAAAGGTTGAATGAATGAATGAAAAACTATCAGTTGTACATGTACATCCAGAGATTACTTTCTTATAGATTCATTATAAATCTGTCCACTGGTTATTGGGAAACTTTGCTAATTCTACTGATAATGAAAACACACACACACAATTCAAATGTCTGTTTTTAATCATTCGTATGATGTAGTTGTAGTACATGAGTATTTTCTCTCTGCCTTTCTTCATACAGTTTGTGTGTGTTTCCACAGGAGGCCTTGATCAGCGCCTGGCTCCAGTTCAGTGATGGTTCTGTGGCTCCGCTTGACCTCTACAATCCTGACTTCTTTGTCCTGACAGCCACCTCCCTGGATGAAGAAGTGGTGACGGTGCAGCAGGACCCGTCATGGAAATGGCCTGTCATTGTGACGGAGGCAGAGGGACAAGGTTTGCTCGTCAGGGTGGAAATGACTATTTGCGAGGTTTGCCAAAAGTTCAAGCGCCGTAGCATCCTAGCAGTGGGGAACTGCAACGTCAGGGTAAAGTTTGGTCCTGCTGACAACTCTCGAGGTGGGAGCAGTGAATATGGCCTGGATGGAGATGACATGGAGAACAAAGGCAGGTTCTCCTCCTCACAGGACAGAACCGGTTTTGAAACCCACTACTATGGCAGCTCTATCTCTGACATAGAGGACGGGGTGTCGAGGAGGGCAACCACAACTAGAAGTGCTATAATCCGCAGACCTAATGGTGGGAAACTTTCAGACGAAGGTGGCCAGAATATGCCAATTGACTTTGCAGACTTCCCTGCACAAGTAGATCTGCCACACGGCCACAATATGGACGATGACCTCGTTCAGAACGCTCGAGGGCTCACCGATCTAGAGATCGGCATGTACGCCTTGTTGGGGGTCTTCTGCCTCGCCATTCTGGTTTTTCTCATTAACTGCATTTCATACACTCTCAAATACCGTCACAAGGAACTATCTGTGGAGGGTCAGGAGAACATGCACCACGCCCATGACTGGGTATGGCTCGGAAATGAGGCGGAGCTGCTGGAAAGCCATATCAGCCTCTCCCCTCAGCAGGAGGAGGAACAGACCTCCATGATGGACTCAAGCAGCGGCCTGGAGGAGGGAAGCCACCTGCTGAATGGGGGCTCTGTGCAGAAGAACGTGCAGAGCCAGGTGCACCGGCCGGCGGACATGGCCAAGGACAGCAAAGGAGACTCCCCCACCACCAAGAGGAAAAGAGTCAAGTTCACCACATTCACCACTATCACTTCAGACTGTAGCTACCCTGCTGTTAACACACGCACTGGAAGCCACAGCCAGGACATTAAGTGGGTGTGCCAGGACGTGAAGCTAGGAGACTCCAAGGAGTTGCGCAATTACATGGAAAGGTTAAACGAGGGTGCTTCAAAGGAGGTGGCATAATAAACCACGTGCACTTGATTCAAACTCACCCTTTTGCCTTCCAGAGGAAAGCCGGTATGAACCGACCAACGGCAGGTGGAAATTTACCACAGAATAACCTTTAAGCTGCCAAAGGGTCAGTACATTTAGGACTGTCATGATTCAACTGAAGAACCACAGAAACTGATGAGATCAGGTGGATCTTTTCCCGTTTGTTTATCAGTTGATAACCTTTATACCATTGCTTTAATAAGACCAGGTTTAGAATCGAGCATTGAGCCAAGGATTCATGTGACATTCAGAAGACAGGTGGACTTTGTAATGAGAGGTAAACATTCAAAATGTGCACATGAAATGGTTTTAGAAGTTTTGTATGACATTAGAGAGCAGTTTAATAAGTCACATCCTTTATTGTGTGGAAACGTTCTGGGGAAAATTCAAGGCAGGCCGAGAAGAATATCTGCATGTTGTCGGAAATAAAATAAAAAAGGCACAAGATTTTAGTTTTGTTTTCTCTTACCCTCCTTAGCAAGGCAGAAAATCTGTTCTGTAAAAACTGTTCAGTCTAAATCATTGTATTGTTGCTCTGTATATTGTATTTTCATAACAATTAATGAATACACAACTGTGTCAAGAGTGTGTATCAGGTTTTATTGATCCCAGCACCACAAGGCCGTCATTTACATGTTTAACTGCGAAATATGACAGAAACAATTCCACGTTTGCCTTTTCCTGGGTAACGTTTTAAAACTTGTTTTGCCCATTAGGGTTGAACCATGGCAGCCAAAGTGTGGCGGAGCTTTGAAACTGAAAGATTTGACAGCGGGATGACGTGAAATTTCACACAACCCTCCTTGACAAGTTTCAAGTTTTTGTCAGTTTTTGAAAAAGCTCATTTCTGTCTTAATGGTCTCTGTCTCCTAGCCAGTATAAACAGAACAAACAATAGAAAACCCAGAAATGATTTCACCAATCCTCTCAGAAAACACTGAAAAAAATCATAGATACAGTAGCAACATGGGGAAGGTTTGCTTCCTGAAAATAGATCTATTATCCTTAAAAAAAAAAAACTGAACTAGTAATTATTTCTTGAAATCTTAAACAGAGGCATTCATCTGAGAAGTTGTGATATTTCCCCTTTTTTTTTGTTCAGTGAATGTTATCTTCTCAGTGGAAACGGTTGTGTGTTATTTCTTAAGCTGAAAAAAAAAATCACATATCGTGTTACTGCTCAGTGAATCAGATAGTCAGTAAAACTCACATTACAGTAGTCCCTCGATTATTGTGGGAGTTACGTTCCAAACATCCCCACAATAGGTGAAAAGCCGCAAAGTAGAAACGTTATATTTATTTTAGTATTTTTATATATTTTACGGCTTTAGAAACTTTTCCCACACTCTTGCAATGTTCTAAACTCTTAAACCAATGTCATTTTAAGAACATACATGTACTGAAACATTTTATACAGGTACTCACCAGCCTTGGTCCAGTTCTGGTCCAGTTCTGAGCGGCTCTCTGCAGCTGTTGAGCACCAGACACTTTTTGAGAGAGCCGGACCTTTGGAGAGCCAGCGCAAAACCACACGATGGTCCTGATCCAGTCCAAAGAATCCAGAGGGATCTGGATGAAAAAAGTCTGGGTGAACTCTGGAGAAGACACCGGACCTCCAAGCAACGTCTCCCCTCTCAAGAGGCTCCCTGGGCCGGCAAGCAGCACTCAGCTTGCCCAATGAGTCTGGAAGTAGCTTTGGTCCAGTTCGGGTCCAGTTCTGATCAGCTCGCTGCATCCACTGAGCGCTGAAGTCACTATGAATAAGGACCAGACTTTTTAGCTTGGTCTGGATCTGATCGAAACTTTTCTTCCATTTCAGCAGAGAGCAGCGGCCAGAAACACTGTTGGTTTCTGGGTAATGTAGTTATTTTGGACTGGCGATACAGTGTAGGATCTTTGAAAGGAAAGTACAAAATGGCGGCACATGTCCGAAGCATTTTTTTCATTTAACTTTTTATCCCGTACCTTCCCAATCATGTGAGTAATATTAAAGTTGACATTCGTTGAAAGACAGCGAAAGTCGAAATGCGAGAGAGACTACATTATCTGGAAGAAGAGAGGTGAGGATATTTTACGTGTACCCTGGATTTGATTGTGGGTTTCATTCGGTCATTCAGATTAGCTGAGATTACCTGTGTGGAAGTAGGACTTGCACACAAATTAAAGCAAAAGGAGGCCAAACAACTGAACAAAAAATAAAGGCCCAGCATTCCCTGAAAGAACGCAGGTAGCATATGGGCTTTCATGTCAGAGTTTTAAACTAAGATAATCTCATGAGAAGAGGTGGAATTTTTAGTGTTTTGGTTTAATTTGGGTGGCGCAACTGGTAGAGCTGCTGCCTCTCAGCAAGCAGGTCCCTGGTTCAAACCCCGGTCCAGGGGCCTTTCTGGGTGGAGTTTGTATGTTCTCTCCGTGCATGCGTGGGTTTTCTCCGGGTACTCCGGTTTCCTCCCACAGACCAAAAACATGCATGTTAGGCTGATTGGTGACTCTAAATTGTCCCTAGGTGTGAGTGAGAGAGTGAATGTTTGTTTGTCTCGTTTGTCTCCATGTGGCCCTGTGATGGACTTGCGACCGGTCCAGGGTGTACCCCGCCCCTCGCACAGTGATTGCTGGACATGGGCACCAGCGACCCCCGTGACCCAAAATGGAATAAGCGGGTAAAGATAATGGATGGATGGATGGTTTAATTTGGGACATTATAAAAAACTTGTGACGTGAGATTTCACATGACCTGTTAGCACCTGAAGTACATGTTGGGGCTGACTTTAATACAGCACCACATCAAGCTTTAGCTCGAAATCTGTAAAAGTTGAGTTATAAAAGAGTTGTTGCCAGTTTTGTTCCAGCTATGTTTGATTAGCTGTAGTGGCCATCTTGAATTGGGGTGATTTGGAAAGTTATTATGTAATAGATTTATATCAAATGATTACTTTCTGAAAGCTTCATTAAAATATGATCATAGGATCATGATAGTTTTGGTAACAGATAGGCAGACTTGTTAATCGCAGATTTCAAAACAGATCTCATATAGTGACACGGTGGCTCAGTTGGTAGAGCTGTTGTCTCTCAGCGAGAAGGTTGCCGGTTCAAATCCTGGCCAGAGACCTTTCTGGGTGGGGTTTGCATGTTCTCTCCATGAGTGGGTTTTCTCCAGGTACTCCGGTTTCCTCCCACAGACCAAAAACATGCATGTTAGTGAAGAGGCATGAAGTGAGTGAAGACAACAACAGACAATCATAAAAGATGCGTACAATTTAAATAAAATGGCATCCAAAAGGAAAGGTAAAGAAAAAAAAAAAAGCAGCTAGATTTGCTGGTTATAACCAGCTGTTGTGGCCTTCTTGAACAAGGTTTACTTAAAAAAAATAGATGAAACAAACTAAACTGACTCCTGAATACAAGATGAAACTACAGTAGGGTTTGACATGAAATTTGTTTTAGAAACTGATTTGAATAAAATTTAAACTTCATCAATAAATTCATTTAAATTGAAGAATAAAGGGAATTGTTGCAGTGTCATAAACCAACCTACAGCCTCCAGTACAAATGGTGTTTCACTTCTCTGACCCTTTTTCCCTCTTATGATCTGCTTATTGTGTATTTGTCCTGCAGCCGTGGGGAATAGAGCAGCAGGTTCAGGCAGTGTGCTGGGACCCTGGTTGTTGCGCTCATTCAGAAAAAAAATTAAAAAAATCATGTATGTTTAGGATGGATTTAACAGCCAGCCACCGGGAGCATGATTGATGAAGGGTATTTTGTAATTATTACACCTCTGTAATTCTTTCCATGACTTTCACAGGTGGATTAAGCTTCTTCAGGTTGGACTTGAGCACCACAGACTATTAAAGAGTCAACAGTTCTCTCCCCCCGAGTCCAGTTTTAGTTGTGATTGTACCTGCTGGGACGTGACGCGGGAATATTGACTAGCGACTTCCCGTCCTGTGGTACGGTAACTCAAGACTCCGTTTTGTTGGCCTTGAAGTCTTGTCTTCCTTGAAAGGAAGAGAGAAAAAATACTTTCCCCAGGCCTTCAGCTTAAATGGATTTTTAATTAAATTGATGATGTGAGACCAACAAACTTCTTACTAATGGTTGGTTGTGCTCCCTGTGGTCCTAATGTGCCGGGCCTGCATTTGCAATTTCCAAATAATTATTCGCTGCGTGATTTATGTTGCCTCCTTGAATTCATTTTTAAAGTCAGCTCGCAGTAGTTTCACAACAACTAAAAAAAAAAAAAATCACTCCCAGACAATGTTGGAAAGGGAGCAAACGAGCAGAAGATGACAAGGTCAGCTCCACACTCTGGGCCGAGCAATTTTTCCAGATGGTTCCACGGGGACTTGAACACAACGCCGTTCATAGACACACACTTTGTGCAAAGAGTGTGACCTGAAACACAACCTGCCCTCTGAGCGCTGCATCACAGGGAGAATTCAAACACAAATGTTCACAAGTGTAGCGAACACCTTCAATGCTTAAATAGAAGGATTAATATTTAATAATTAATATTACCCTCAGCTCTGGTTAATTCTGATTTAGCTCAGGTTTGAAATCTGGATTCATGGCACAGTTTGGCCCTCTAAAACACATACACAGGAATTAAACACACACATCAGAAAAAAAGAAATGATCACAAACTATTTGCATACCAATACATTATTTAAAATGGTTCCAGTTGTTTTATACTAAAATGGTAAAACAGAGGGGATCATGAAATACTGTCAGGTCTAAAATATGAGTTTAAATTGTAGATTGTTGTGGATGAAGATGTGTAAAACCTTTAAACTGACCCCCTACTTAAAGCTAATCAGAACGAAACAGTTTGTTAAAATATTTAAAGAAAAAAGATACTGTTTTTTTTTTTTAATTAATGAGTTCTTATGACAACAAATGTTAAATAATGTTGACACTAAACTATGAACGTGCACGCAAGAATATGGAGATCCATCCATCAGGAGGTTCTCTCCACTAACATGGAGGAATCAGGTCTCTCTTGTAAATGAGTCCTCGAGGCTCAATGGGATTTACCTTTCTGAATAAGGGTTGAATGAATGGAGGTCATTGATTCAGGCAGGAAGAGCTGAAGATGGACGAGCCACGTTCACAGGATGGAGTCCTGCAGATGCAGGAGAGACCGTTGAACATCTCCAGGAGGGCACAGCAGGAAGTCATGGTCAGATCTTTGTTCCTCAGGGCTCAAGCTGGTCTAGGATCAGTGTCCTAGGAGTTGCCCAGAGTTTGTGAGAGGTGATTTTCTCAGATGGAGGAGAACAAGCAGTACATTCTCACAGATCACATTGGAAAATTATTACTAAATATATATATATATATATACATATATATATATATATATATATGCTAATTTTTTGGGACAGGCATTTTGGGTTTTCATGAGCTGTATGCCATA